TAAACGATTTCGTGATTCTATTCACTCAGGGAAAGTAGAACCATATCTGCCTGCAAATGAATGCAAACCAAAGCAGAGGGATAAACAGCACAGTAGACTATTATTCCCAATCTTTGATTTATGGTACATATTCTAAAAGATGCAGTTCCTTGAAGACATTAAGTGCCAATGTTCTCTTTACTATTTTTATTTTTGTATCCAATAATGTTATTTTGAAGCAATCCTTTGATTGAACTAGTGTATGCACAAAGTATGCACATTAGATTTCAATCAGTAAACTTTCTGTGAGCTGCAATTTTTTGATGTGAATATATGTATAGATATAACACAACATTGTCCAGGAAATGTAGTCTTTGATTAGTGGGGAAGAAAAGCATATGGGTGATTAGATGCTCTTCTTATTCCTCAAAGTTTAGGAAATGGGGCCATGTTCTTCATTTCCTGAGTTTGCATTCAGCAAATTTTACTGGGGGAGAGAAGAGTTGATAAATAACCTTTGGGAAGAGTGTGATTTGATGAGCTGTTTATGCTGGACCTGCTGTAACTTAAAACAGTGGTTTCAAAGTTTGATTTACTTCATTTGAGCAAACTCTTAAGCTTTTTAAATGAAAATACAGATTTATTTTTTTTAAGCAAATGGAACTCTGCTGGTAATGTACTTTCTTTTTCACAGTTCATATAAAACAGGTTTTCATGGGTTAAGCTTAAGAAAACCCATTGGGTCAATTCCTCTAGGGACTCCTTGTGACCAAATGCAGGCTCAGCTGTGTTTCAATGGGGACTCTTGTCCCCATTCAAACCTCTGAACCAGAACCTCCAAGGAATGGGCAGAAGGGAACATTCAGAAGCTACCCTGCCCCAAGGGGCAGTTCCTGTCTTTCATATTCACGAGAATTTTCAGCCTCTGGGTCACTAAATCCACTTCCATTACCATTGTGAGGTTGAAAGAGGACCAGGAAAGCATCCAGGGGACTGCCTCAGTATAGACTTGGTTACACTTTATTTCAGTGTGTGACTGCAGCTTGTGTAGACACATATCTGAAGTCAATTTACATAAACTATTTTTGTACTGCTGGCAGTGTGGCTTTGGGGCTTCAAAACTTCTAAGAACTGAAGAACCATTTGGGTGATTTACCCAGGCTGACCTCCTCTTGGGGATATTTATACCAAAAGAAGCCTGATATCAGATTATACACCTGCTAGCACAGTATTCTCTCTCTGAAAGTGATCAAAAGGGAAAAGTACAGGAACAAGGTTCAGCACAGGAAGTTTCTTTATCACATTACTCAACTGCCTTCAGCAGTTTCTTTTTTGGAGGCTTCTTAAGTCAGAATTGATTTTAGTGGATTCCCACCATGAGTTTTTCTGGTCACTTATTCAACTCATGTCAAGTTCTGACATCTAGCACATCCTATGTCAATGAGTTCTACCGTTTCTCTATATGGTGTAAGGAGGATTACTTCATCTTGCTGACTTGGCATTTCTTTTCCTATAATGTAACTCTATGTCCCCTGCTCATGAGAAACACATGAGTGAAGAATTATTTTTTATTTTTGTTGCTTAGTCATGATTCTGGGCTCCCTAAAAATACCTTTTGACTGCCTTGTCATCTTTCTTTCATTATGAAAATTGTTAGCCTATTTAGTAATTCCTGGCATGGAAATATTTCCATTCCTTGCTGCCTTTTTATGTTCCTTTTTCTCCCTTGTTATCTGAGTGCTCAGACACCTTGAAGTACCTATGTAAATAAGAAGTGTGGACTTGTAATTTTTGCTAAGTTCCTGCTTCTGCAGCTGATGCTGTCTTTAAATAGTCAAGTTAATTAGTTTACAGTCAATTTGAGAATTTATATTTTAGCTTCAGTCTCATGTTGGCATTTTAACAGAAAAAACACTCAATAAGTTGTACTCCCAGAACCACTAATGAGGTGAAACTCAAGCATGAACTAATAGTTTGACTGAGGAAGAAGAGGAAGGATAGAGAGAAGAAAAATATTTCATTTTGTCAGAATATGTGGTTTTGTGTGTTTGTTTATACAAAAATAGAAGTGCAGGTGTAGTTAAAGTGCACAATGTGTTGTCTCTTGAATAGCTGTGAAGAAATGAATCTTTTGCAGCAGATGGCTGCTGAATGAGTCTGCTGGCTCAACTTAGGTCATTCTAATGATAATGTCTTCCTCTTTTGGTCTCGAGCTCTCAGGTGCTAAAGGTTTGATGCTAACAGTGCTAATCAAACCAGATTGTGCTTTCCTCTGTAATTCCACTTTGTGTTTCTGAATTAATTGAATTGTCTGAATCGGAGAGGAAAACAGAGTGAACAAAATGGCCAACTCGGTTTCCATTTCCTCAGTGCACTGCTGAAAGCAGCTTGCTGATTATAGCAGGGGGAAATGTCTATTGCTGATCAACTTACTCTATATGGGGAGTTCTTGTACTAAAATGAAGTAGAAAATCAAGGTATAGCAGCATCATAACTCGGCTAGCCAGAAGAAGAAAATCTTTTAAAGTTTTTTATTGGTACCATGCTGGCAGTTATGTCATTCAAAATTTAAAACTAAACCAAAGTTGCAAAGACTCCTCTGTCTTTGCTAATCAGAATTTTGATTCATTTTCTTTGGAAACTTCATTGCATACAGCAATTTTGTTTTATGAGACTGTTGAATGTCTCCATAAACCAGCATTTTTCAAACTGTAATTCAATGGTCGTTGCATAGAAATGCCAAAAAACTGATCAGAATCAATGATCTCCTGTAAAATGTTGCCTCAGGTTAGCTGTCAACTAAATTGAATACCCTTGTTAACTATATCCATCTTTGTAACAACTTTTTTTATTGTCACTTGTATTTTTTTCAGGGATGATGCTATGCATTTAAAACATATAATTAGAGATCTATTTAAAACACAGTAAATCTTTGCAAAGCAAATCTGCCAGACACTGCTTTGGATTCCACTTAATTCTGGATCTCTGATGAATCAGCACTGTTTGTCTGTCAGGCTACACTCTCCAGTAAATATTTAGTACCCTGTTGTCTGGACTCAATACAATTTAGTTCATGAAACATCCTTCAGGAACCAACAGACAGGACACTGCATCAAGATGTTTCTTACTCCATTTCAAGAAGTTCAGTGGTTGCATTTGGCTACAACAAAAAAATAAACCAAAGAAATTAACCCAACTAAAGAAAAAAACTACCACCACCAACAAAAAACAATCCACAAGAAACCCCACAAACAACCAAAGGCTAGAAAACTCTATGCTCATTTATCTGTGGTGGAGTTTTTCATTTTTATGCAGGAGCTGCCATTGTTTTGTGCTACATAGAAAGTTAGGATTTTTGTTTGAGATCCTTGGAAATTGTATTTTGAATTAATGTGAAATTCTTAAAAGAATCAAATCTGCAGTCTATTTTTTGTCATTGTGGAAACTTGCATTGCTCTTAAATCAATGCTGATTGTTCCTTTATAGCAACAGATTTTCTGACTCAATGCAAAATAAAAGTTAAAGCCCTTACATTGCTATATACTTATTATAGGTCAGGAACATGTGGTGTTTCATGTGGAATATTTTGCTGGGAATAATTCATGCACTGGTTAAATTGGACATATTTCTCAAAATAGTTCTTCCTTTTTTATCTTTTGATTGATAGTCTGTAGATATTGTTTTAATGTATTGAAATAGGGAAGCATTGCAGAGTGTGCTGTGATATATCCTCTGTTTTGATGACATGAAAATGTGCCTCTCACCAGTCAGACCCAATTAAGCCAGCTGCTGCCCTGAATCATTGGTTGTGCACAGGAAAGACACGAGTGAGGAGGGTTTTGGCACAAGGGCATATTACGGAGGTAATCACTAGGAGCCAAACCACGGGAATAAACGATCTGGCAACGAGCAATTGCCACACTGGAGAAGGAAGAAAAGGGGGTTATGCTGGAAGGAAGGATGTGGGACTGGTGGCGAGTGGAAGGATAGAGTAAGTGACAGATTTCTGGGGAGACATGGCAGTGCTGCTCAAGTTCCCTGTCCTTCTTTCAGCTCTGCCTTTCCCTTGCTCGCTGGCAACAGGGAAGAGCAGTGGCGGTGGAAAGCTCTTCTGATGTGGCTCCTGCTGGTGTTTTTCCCTAAGGGAAAAGGGAGAACAAAAAGGAAGGAGTTCATGTAGCTGCAAAGGAGGGAAAGGGTGCAGCACAGCACCTTTTTGTCCCATGTCTCTGCTGAGCTGTCTGTGCACTCCAGTCTGGGGACTGGTGCAACACAACCTCCATTGCTTAAGAAATGTGCATAAGGACATAGTTGTCATTTCAATATTCACTGGTTTATTGCAACTTTCCCAAATAACCATTAGCAGTGAGTAAAACTAATAAAAAAGATAGTGTTGGTTAAATTGCCTGTACTTAAATTTTATCACATTTGTATTGAGAAAGAGAAGTTCATTTCCTAAATCATTCTGAGAGAGATTGCATGGTCATAGAAGTCAAAGAAAATTTGTTAAATTTGCCATCTCCCTAAATATCCCTACACTTGCCTTTGCATATCTTCAAAACACCACTGTACTCACACTGCTGAAATCTTCTTTTGAAGGTGCAGCTTTGTTAACAGATTTGAAAAATAGTGCTACGTCCCCATTTTTCTCATTAGAAAAGTTGAAGGATATTTTTTCTTTTCCTGTATATGTGATTGGTAATCTTCATAGTTTTATACTGACCACTCAAAGTCATATAGCAATTGAAGCATAGTTTACTTAACAAAAGTTCAGGTATATTAAGTAGTGAAATACACTAGTAACTAAAATAAGGCATAACATGTTTATTGTCTATGTTATTATTAATTTTAAAACTTTCTCATTGAAGTTCTGTTGTTCAATAGCATTATAATAAAATCACAGGGATAATGCATAGGCATACATGATACTTGATATAATTGTAGGAAAATCAATTGAACCACATGTTCTCCTTGTCTTCATGGTGTCCTCATGGATTTATGTTTCTGTGTCTCATTCCCAGGTTTGGAGAGGGTTATTCTGTCAAGGTTTGGCTTAGCAAAGAAATAAGTTATGAAAGAATCATTTTGGACTGTCTACAAATGCATTTTCCTGGAACACAGTTTAAGGTACACATAAAATTCCATGTTCTAGTATATGGCAGGATTAATCTGGGGCTTGTAAGTACAGTATGTACATGTTTGGATATTTACATGCTTGGATATATTTATCTTCTTGGGAAAAGTACTTATTAATATCCCTTTTATCTTTCTATTAAGCAATTCTTTAAAAATTGGCTTGTGATGATGGTTGAATCAACTCCAAACAGGAATTTAGGCAATGTAAATAAAAAGGCCTTTTCTTTGACTGAAAATTTCCTTTTGCTTTTATTATTGAAGTTGAACTCAAATCTGTGTTCACCTGAAGTAGGACTGCAGTGTAGTCACTGAGAGTATTTGCTTTGATTGCTTTCAAGGCCCAGAGTTGATAAGTCTCAGCCTTTACTGAGATTCTTTGATTTAATACAAAGCCTTATAAAAGACTTATAGCAATTACATTTCAATAAACACTCTCAAAGGCTTTTCCTTTAACTGTGTTTAGGAAAAGGATAATAGGAAACAAAGTCTGTCTTAGAGATGAACCTCTTTGTGAGCATAAGTCTGTATTGAGATCAGACAGCAATGTGTCTGTATATGTTCAGCCTTTTCCCAGACTGCATTGCAACAGCACTAGTCTGTCACATTCAAATTGCTCTGAAGTTTTATATATCTTTTATGAGATTAACAAGCAGTCACCTCACAAAATCTGTACTCTTAGTATGAACCGCTCTTTGTTCTATGAATGTGGGCAAAATATGTTATTTTTTAAAAGCTCATATTTTCCAGAATAATCTGCAATGAGAGTCTGCTGAAGGTAGACTGATTGTAAGCAAGTGTAGCTTCATCACAAAGAACGTTCACTTTTATCTGTTTTTATAATTTTTACTTGTTTTCAGGGACAACATCTTAACCTGCTCGAGTACCATGTACCAAGAAGTCAGGGATGCTTAGCAGAGCTCTTCAGAGTCCTAGAGAATCACAAAGTTTTTCTCCAAATCAAACACTACTCCATTAGCCAAACTACATTAGAGCAGGTATTTTATAATTTCTCTTTCCTTTTTTTCCCATGGTTGGTTTTTTTTTTTTTTTTTGTTTTTTTTTTTTTTTTTTTTTGTTTCCCATGGTTGGTTTGTTTGTTTGTTTGTTTTCCTAAATGTACTGTGCATTATAGTTATTGATGTAGTAGAATATTTTATCATTTGCTGGGTCACCTGAATGTATGCAATACTCCAGCAGTTCCAGGTCATCTCAGGTCCTACACTGCTTTAATGCTGGAGGTGAGCACAGTAAAAGCATCACAGCAAGTCACACACTTGTAGTGTGCACAAACCTAGTCACAGCAAGCCACACACTTGTAGTGTGCACAAACATAATCTGTGCTTAGATGAATCCAGAGCTGTGTGAGATGACAAGATAGCACTGTGAACTGCCATCCCCACAGTCCAAAAGTTGGCATCTTACCAATGTCCTTGAAAAGGCTGAACCAGTCTCTGTAAATCATGGTAAACCTTAGACCTTCAGACATTTTCCTGTGAGAGTTTTAAGCACAAACAGACAGGAGACCCAGCTGCTAAAAACCGTGAAATACTATTGTGAGAAAAAGAAGAAAACGTTGATGGCAAGCATGGGATTTCTGGGTGATTGTGATGTGTTACATCATCTTCATAGGCAACTGCTTGTTATTCATTCTGCAAACTGAGAGGCACATTTAGTCAAAATATTAATTTTCTGTGATTGATGGTGTGAATTTGTTCCTTTTTCCCATGTGCAAATCATTATTGAAGTATTCTCCTCTGTGCTGGTCTACTAACTACTTGTAAACTATCTATTCACTGAGTGACTGCATATAAGATAATTTCAGCCTGTTTCTTCAGGCATTGTTCACTCAGGTTTACTTCCTTTCCATTTTTCATGGTGATGCATCACCTCAGTCACCTACCACCGCTTCCTCTCCCTGACTGTCAGTTTTAAACAGGAAAATAGTTCTTCACAGTAACAAACACACTTTAAATGCACCCCAAGTTTTCTTGCATATGAAGAGGTTCATTTGAATAAAGAGCCATTTTTCCCTCTACATGCCTTACTGTGAAATTGTTGTGCGGTTAAAAATGAAACAAGCCTTTATGTAGGAAGATCTGTGTTTAAAAAACCCAAACCAATTCAAGGAGGCATATTCGTTTTTGAATCAGAAGTGTGCTTTCACCTTGAAATATTTGCACCCTCATCTGTAATATTTTATTTGCAGAAACAACAGACTCATATTCTTTATTTATGTCATTCAAAGACAATTAAAACCATTGTTTCATATTTGCTTGTGCATAAAATGTATTTTTCATATCCTGGTAAATTATTTTACCATAATTTTTATCGTTTATCATCCCCCCATCCCTCCATCCATCTTAGCTGGAGAGGAGAAGAGGGATTATTTCTAGAGTTTATAAAACATGTTTTTAGAGGTGTTCCCTCAACATGAGTTATTAATTATTTTGCCAAAAAAGCTAAGGAGAGCAGCTAAGAAATGCCATCACCTATATCCCCAAAGTCTGAATTCAGGTACCTTTATTTTGAAAATTCTACTTTTTATCATGTCTTACAGGTATTCATTAATTTTGCAACACAGCAACAAGGAGTCTCGCATTCTTCACAAGGATCTCCTGTTCTTCATCATGATCATCTCCCAGTCTAGGCTCAGAACAGGATACAGCTTCAACATAACATATGTGTGTCTGTGTTTGCATATATGTACACAAAGCTACATGCAATAACTTTTCAACAGTGAACAATGTGTGTATGAGAAACAAATAGTAGAAGCAGAGGTGAGTTTTCATGTGTAGGCCAGAAGGAATGGTACCAGTTCTTGGTTAAGCAAGAAACTGATTATGTGAACCAAAAAATCCACCAAAAAGTAATGTTTTCTTAATTTAACTGGAACGTTAAAGTACAAATGGCCTAATTACTGCAAAAAAAAAAAAAAAAAAGGGTTATTTTTTTTTTTTTTTTTTTTTTTTTTTTAAGGGGGTTTTTTTTTTTTTTTTTGAGGATTAAAATACAAATGGCCTAATTACTGAAAAAAAAAAAAAAAGAAGGCTTATCTGAAATGTCAGTGTATAGCAGAATTTTTTTTTTGGTGGTACCTCTGCATTCGACTATAGTACTTTCTTGTATGCACACTTAATATCTAATTTTTACATGATAAGGCAAGAAAAAACAATTGAATGGTAGCATTCGCTTGGGTATCACCCAGTATTTTTATTTAATGACATAAATTGAGAGCCTTTCAATTTCTCTGTTAATTCAGTTCTGTGTTGTGACAAGCCAAATTAACCTTTTTAATGTATAAAGGGTGCACTGTATTCCATAAGGCTTCATATTAAAGAGGTTATTAGTGTACTAGCCGCGTCTGCCTCCCAGTTATCTTAAGTAAATTTAACCAGTTTTCATAAATCATGCTTGACAATAAACCTAAGCCTGCAGGTTGCTGCTGGAAGTATTCTCAAGTACTTTTTTAATGACCTAGTTTGTTTTTCTCATATTTTTGTTTCCTTTTTCTTCAAAAAGAATGTCAAAATGCTGTTTAATGGGAATGCTAAAGGAAAATAAGATAAAAATTCAGACTGTGATCAATATAATTCTCAATAAATATATTATGATGCTAGGTACTTCAGACAAGGCTACAGTCTTCAGCCTGTACTTCTATAAAATAAGTGAACATTTAATGGATGAAAACACCTTGTGTATTGTGCTTGCAGAAAAACATGTGAATTTTTTTGGTAGTAATTGGCTGCCTCATCCAAAACAAATCTTTGAAGCTTCTATGAAATTAGCTCATGCCATTTTATTGGACTACACTGCCAAATAGCTGAAATTGTAGAACCAGTGACTTAGAAGTTATTTGCCGCAATATGATTTTGGGTGAGCAGTGGTGAGGGAAGTTCACTTTGAGATCAGAGAATTTGATTTTAAGTGGCCAATATTGCAGAGCTGCTGCTATAATCCCCTGCTGTACAATGATAAAATATTTAAAAAAAAATAAAATTAGTGTTTTATGCTTTGCAAGCTGACTCAGAAGACTGTTTATTGAGGCTTGATTTGTTCATGTTGCTTTATCCCATTATGCTTTTTTAAAATCAGGAATTCAGGTTGCCTATTTAAAAAGATGAAATTATGTCCTTGAAAAATAAATAAAACCCTAAAGATTTACAGGCTTTGTCTGCATGTGCATATGGGTCAGAGTGAGTGAGCTTATGAAAGTGCTTTATCATTAGAATGGATTGGTATAATATCAGAACTCTGACAAGCTACTCAGGACCCAAAGCACTTAGGAACCATTAAATCCCAACAGCAACCACCCTGGTAGAAGCGCCATAGCACAATGGGATGTCCATATTTGATATGAAAACAGGTATCTTTAATTTCTTCATGAGAATAGGAGTGGAAGGTTTCTAAGGTGCCCAATTAGAACAAAACCCAGTCAATTTTACAAAGCAAAGTGTGAGAGAAGTAGTGAACGTGAAGGGAAAAAGAAGGCAGATGCAGGAAATTTGGGTAGAAATGGAAATATGCCATCATTGAAGTAGCTTGTTTAATTTCAGCACCTCAGGATGGAAGAAAATGAGCATTCAAGGAACAGCCAAGGATCTCTGAGTCGTAGTCTGAAACCACTCAAGAGAACATTTCTGTAGCACTTAATTGGAAAAAGTAGAAGGGAAAGTATGGCAGTCACGTGAACAGGGCTTTTAGCTTTTTTCTTTTATTTTTGTTGCTGTGTCTGGACCTGTAGATCGCTGATATTATTACTGATTGATTTGCTTTGGGTTTTATTTTTGTTTTTATAAACTAATGTCACTGTCTCAACCACCACAAGTCCTTAAAAAATGATGAAGTGTACTCAAGGAAGTTAAAGGATTTGGGAAAGTAGATAGTTCCGATCCTTGCAGTGTAAGGGAGTCAAGTCAAAAAATGTGGTTTGCATGAAATTGTAAAAAGAGCACTTTTTCCTGCTGAGGAAGGGTGTCAAGCAGTTGAATTAATAAAACAGTCCTGCAGTTTGCTTTGACCAACAGAAGCATAAAAGCACAAGACTCACCGTGGTGAGACTGAAAAGCGATAGCCTAGCTGAATGCTCAGATAGGGGAGCTTCTTCAAGTCTTAGCTGTGTAACACTAATTAAATGTCACTTTTTTCTGATTAAAATATGAAAGATTATATTAGTTTAATAGATGAATACAGTAAATAAGGTTTGCTTCAGACTGATGGTTGAGTAAATTCAGTTAACAGTGTTTTTCTTTTTTTAAATTACTTCATATGCATCTCAGGAGACCCAATTTAATTCAGGCAAATAGCAAACAATGTCTGTCTACCAATCCTTTATGGGTAAAGAAGGTCAAAATCTAATTGAGTGCCAGTGTACCAGGTTCTGTCTCAGAGGATATTTTCCCTTTCTTTAACTTGTGGCATTCATAATGTATGCAAGTTTTAACAAAAGTATTTTGAAGATTTTTGGTTTATTCATTTATTTATTTATCAAAATAAATCACTAAACTAAGAGTCTGGACAGAAAAGGTCAATTATTCATTAATAAAGAAAGAATCCTTGAATTCATAATTCATAAAGAAATATCTCTTAACACCTCTGGATTTGGAATCAAACACAGCTGAGGATTTTAACAATACTTCTCTTGTGTGATTCTTGTTAGGCAAGTTTCATTTTATTTCAGCTGGAAATTTCTCTGACTGTGAAAGCAAGTTCTTCACCCTGAACAATAAACTAGAATTAAGCTCAAAGTTATAAAATCAGCTGAATATATAAAATACTCAACAGTAAAACTGGGAAGATGATAATCATACTTTTAAGGGACTATTCCTCAGCCCAAGTCAAAAGAAGGGCTTTGGCCAACGTTTGAGCAGATTGCTTCAGGCCCTCTTTTTATTTTCATGCAGTAATAGAATGATGTGACCAAAAATAAACAGTAGGTCTGAACATTAACTTAAAGTATCACAAATTCAGTGGGGGTGGAAGGGTGATGGTATTAGTGGACAGGATGTCAAAATTCACTAATTACCTCTTTGAATATGGCTGCATATTAAATTTCTGTGCAGATTTTTTTTCTTCTGGAAAGAAAGAACTTATTTCTCTGGTTTGGTTCAGTCATGACCATGGATGATAAATTTTGCCCATGGCAGTGAAAGACATATAACATGATTTTCAGGAAAGGAATTAGGTGCCTTTTGAGCTTGCTTGTCCTTGTGAAATTTGAATCACTGAGGTCTGAAATCACATAAATTTGGAAGCAGAATCAAACTGTTCCTGGAACTGCTCAACTTCTAGATCTGTTTCAAAGCAATTTAGGTAAGGATATTGTTTTCCTGGTCTTTTCCTAGTAAGTAGTAAAGCTGACACTTTCTTTGATTCAGTTTAATATGATCTAATCTTTTTATGTCAGCACTTTCAATTTTTCTTTCTTAAGAATAGGGAGATCAAAGCTAGCAGCAAAAAGATCTTACTTAAAGTGATTGAGAGCTGACTAGCTCAGACCAACAACAGCTAAGGAGAAAATGCTTCCTGGGCTGTGTATTAGATCCTTACATTACAAATAGAACTGATGCTGTTGCAGGTGCAATACGAGTGGGCAGCAGGTACAGAGCAGAAATCACAGCTGTCTCATTCTTGCCCAGAAAGCAGACATCTGCTGCTATCAATGGGCCAAGTTCTGCTGAATGTTTTAGCAGATGACTTCTCCATGCTGAATAATGATATGGGTCACTGAAACAAATCAAAGCATCTTTCTTCTTTATTAAATTTTTCTATCACATACTAATGTTGTTCCAGCAGTGCTCTCATGCTTATTGCTACATGGAGCTATGTGCTGGGATAAATTCTGACTCCTTTCACAATGGCCCTGTAAAAGCCATGATCAGAGTCTGCACTGTAGAGGTATATGCACATCTTTAGTTTAGGCTGGTTCATATCTGCTTTCTGGTGGAGAGAGGGGAACTATAAGCTATATAAGCAAAAGCCAATAGGTGAGATTTCCATGTGCATCTGATTTACTCCAGCTATAGAACACCACACACACATAATTTTGTTGCCTGTGCATGCCATGGGCAATTTAAAGAAGTGCCTAGAGGTTAACAGGCTATGAGGTGCCCATCAGAAAAATGCAGGATCCTCTAACGTTCAACAGTATAAGGTAAGATCAATCAGGAATCTTTTAACCCACTTTTTTAGGCAGTAAATGCTGGTTAATAGCAAAGTGTAATGCTGAGAATGTAATTTGAGAAAAATATCAGAAACACTTTTGTCCTTAGCGTGTGCTGAAACAGGGAAATACAAACTTTATTCCATATATCATTTTTACATCATCCTTAATTCCTGTTCTACTTACGTTACTATATGCACTAACCACACCCCCAAAAAACTTCGGTGCTTCCCTCAGACTAAAATATTTTGAAAAGTGATTCAACTTCTACAAAATGTGAAGGCTTGTGGAGTTTTTTAACTTAGATTTTATTGAGAACTGGTCCTTAAGACTTACATAATTATAGCTGAGTGCGTGACTGAAGCAGCACATGACATTCATGCTGAACATAATGGAATATGCATGTAACGCTCTAGCTGAGGAGTTGTAGTCACCTGATACTTTGTAGCTAATGATAATTGTCTAATAAGAAGAACCCGAAATTGTTT